AGCATCCAAACGACTGCGGTAGGGAGAAGCACGGTGACCACGGAGGCTCATGTTGCAGGATCGAACCAAAGCAAAGGAGACAAGAGAGCGGATCCAGGACATGACGGAGGAGTAGGGTTCATGCCGCTTCTCCGAAACCATATGGCCAAGACGCTTCAGGAAAGCGTGGGCTACCTTGCCGCACCCACCAGATGCACTGAATACCAGTGGGAGAAAGGAAGCATGCTCCACCTCCCTGACGCGTTCTTCGTAGGCCCTTCTCTTCTGCTGTTCGTGCTTGGCATAGGTGGACGCGGGAGTTGAGGAAGTGTTCGAGCGCGCATGAGGGTTAAAAACCCGAACATCACAGAACGTGCGCTCAAAACGACTTTCCCAGACACCAGATGCCGCCACATCAAGACGAGCACCATCTTCCAAGATGGCAGAGCGATACCGGAGCCTTTCACCCTCCAGGGGCTGCAGAGGAGGTTCTATCTTCACATCCGTTGCCACTTCACGCAGTAGGTCGGCTGTCAGGTCGCGGATCGTGTTATGGCGGAGAGCCGGGTATCCACCAGTTGGGCACGAAAGAGCATGGCTGGTGTTAAATGCCTTGCCACACACACAAGTGGATGGCAGGCGGGGAGGGACCCAGCCGAACCGCAGACAGAGTGCGTCTCTGAAGGCGCCTTTGTGGAGGACAAACCCGAACTGCTTCAGGGGCCGGCAAGTTTTTTTTTTTTTTTTTTTTTTATTTACTTGAAAAAGCACATAACCACCAGGAAAGCTGACAAAGAAAAAAGAGTAAGAAAAGACAGATAAAAAGAGAGCTGAGAGAGAGAGAGAGTTGGGGTACGGTTAGGGGAGGACGAGACATTGAATGGTGGTCGCCACAGTCACAGATAGTAGCAGTGCTGGTGAGGCTACAGGCACTCCACTGACCATTAGGTCTCAGTATCGCCATGCCGGTAACGCACCAAGAGACAAAAACGGAAGAAAATCTGAAGCGCAATACATGAATGGTAATTACAATATAGGTAATAGGGAGAGTGGTGACCAAGAGAGGACAGTATAGACCGTTAGTATGGGGTGCTTCAATGCACATCCCCAAACCGAGAGGTGCGATCTGGAAAGAACAGTGAGACGATCAACATGATGGGCTTCAAAGCACGTCCCAAGACCATGGCTGGTCTGAAATGTGTTTGTTGACACCTTTTTTAAAAGCTGTGAGTGGAGAGTGATTGGCCAGACGGGGAAAGACGTCCTCGGGGAGGCTGTTCCACAATTCAAGGAAACAGTAGGGGAAGGAACGTCGAAGGTAATCGGGACTGGTGCCGGGGGTGGTGTTTAAGAGCTGTTCCCGGTGCTGGCGCTGAGCATAATGCTGCCGGCGGGTTCGAACAGTATCGGCCCGTGGTTTTGGGGGAGGGCGCATGCGTGTCAGACGGGGTGGGCCCTTGCAGTTAACTACCTTGTAGAGATAAGACAGCCCTGCAACCGTCCGTCTGGCCCGCAGACTCTGGAGGACGGTGGTGGGTCCAATCATCTGCATGGCCTTGCGCTGTGCTGTGTCCAACTTCCCAAGGTGGGTCTGGGTAGCACCAAGCCAGGCTAGTGGGGCATACTCAAGTATGGGCCTTACAAAGCCCTTATAGACGGTTAGGCGTCCAGCAGCATCCAGGATGGGGGCTGCCTTCCGCATGAAATGGAGGCGTTGATGTGCGCGCACAGAAAGCTGGTGGAGGTGGGCGCTGAAGTTGAGCTTCTCGTCGAACACCACCCCAAGGAGCTTCAACTGGCTGCTGACAGGAACAGGGGTGCCAAGGAATTGGACAGGGGGGAAGTCTGGAGGGGCCAGCTTCCTGGTCACGGACATCAGCTGTGACTTAGAGGGCTCAAAGGTAACCCTCCAAGTACTTCCCCAGGCTTCCAGCTGGTTTACGGCTGTCTGAAGTGCAGCTGCGGCGGCCTCTGTGGTCTGTCCAGGCATGACAGACGTGTATAACGTAGTATCATCAGCATACACGGCAATGGAGACGCTGGCAGGTAGCTGATCTTCGGCGTCGTTTATGTACACTAGAAACAATGTGGGCCCTAGGATGCTGCCCTGAGGGACGCCTGACCGGATGGTAGAGGGGGTAGAGGTCTGTCCCCCAACAACAGCTTGCAGCTTCCGGTTCTGGAGGTACGATGTTAACCAGGCCAGCAGTTGCCCGCCAATGCCATAGCCTCGGAGCTTGCAGAGGAGCCCAGGGTGTGAAACCCGGTCAAACGCGCCTGCTATGTCTATGGCGAGGGCCTGAATGGTTCCGCCCTTACTGGTGGTTAAAGCCCATTCATGCTGGAGTGACGTTAGTAGGTCAGCTGTGCCGATTGATTTCCGAAAGCCAAACTGGTTGGCAGACAGGAGGGTATTGCTGTTGAGATGGTTGATGAGCTGCTGGTTGACTATTCTTTCCATCACCTTGGATACTACACAGAGCAAGGAGACTGGTCGATAATTACGGACATCGCCCTTGGCCTTGCGCTTGTGGATGGGAACCACATTGGCTACCTTCCAGGCTGTAGGCTGGTAACCATGGGAGAGACAAGACGAGAACAGCTGCGACAACGGCTTTGAGAGCTCAGACGCACACTTCTTTAGAACGCGGCAGGAAATGGAGTCTGGCCCGGACGCTTTGGATACTTCAAGACACCGGAGCTGCTTGAGCACTGCTGATTCCCGGAAACGGATTTGACTCAGGATGGCGTCAGTGCGTGGTGGGAAAGGCGGGAGTGTGTCTTCTGTGAGATCGTTTGGGATGCTGCACTTCTCTGCGAAGAATGATGCGAAACAGTCGGCCTTGGAGGAGGCCGTGGTACATTGCTGACCATCGGCCCCCTTTAGGACAGGAATATCAGATGTGCGGGATAGACCTCCTGCACGCTTCATGTTTGACCACCATGCTTTGTCACGTAGGTTTCCATTCGACAGCTTGTTCCTCAATGGGCAAGTGAGCCAGTTGGACGCTCCTTTCTCGGCCGCCATCCCCAGGGTTCGCTGGGTGGGCGCATCACATGTGGCCAAGAGCTGACTGGCTTGGTTTCGAGCGGCTCTCCTGGTTGCTGCTGCTGCAGTTAGCTTGGCAGCATGGATGGTGGTGGGCACTTCGTCCATGTTGGTATCTTGGTCCAGTATCCGGCTCACGAGGATGTTGGTGACAGCGACAGACATATTGTATTGGTCCGTCAAAGACCTCGGGTCAATGAGACCAAGACCACCTTCTCGACACGGGAGGGACAGTATGGCGCGCTCTTCGTCACCAGGTGCGGGGCGACTGGTTAGAGCAGGGATGAACCGCTGTCGGATGGAGTGCTCCAGCGGGTCTAGCAGTCCGCTGATGCCTGGGACCGTCCGGGCCACAAACGACCACTTGTGGCGGAGGCCATGAATAAAAGCAGCGTATGCCGCTTGTGGCTGAGTGGTGGCGAAGTCAGCCAGTCGTCCAACCTCTAGCGCCCATGTCTCTACCTTCTCTGTGACATATTGCTTGCAGAATTCGGGAGACCCAAGTACCGCACCGAGATGCCGCCAGCCATCCGTGCGAATCTGGACTGCCGTGTCAGCAAACAGGGATTCTGCTTCCTGAAGATGCTCCGGCTTCACAACAAGAACCGACTTGGCATCATTGGGGAAGTACCCATATGCTGGGCCTCGTTGCTTAAGCAGTGACCACCAGTGATGCAGCTTTCGAATGGTGGAAGCGGCAGTGGAGTCGTCTGCATACCACGACTGGAGTGCTCCGCTCTGAGACACTTCCTGGATGAGAGGAACGGTTGCCAGGGCATACATAGCCATGGCTAGTGGATCTCCCTGCGTGGTGCCTTCACAAGACAGGAGACCCCCCGGGTCAAGAAAATCGTACTACAAACGTACTTCTGTGCGTATCTCGCGCCAGGTTTGAACAGCACTGCAAATGCCAATTTCGCGCGAACGGATTCACGTGACCATGCAGGACTGTAGAAGATTTTTTTTATTTTATTTATTACTCAAATTTTGAAGATCAAAAGGAAAGCTTTGCAATAATAACAACAATAAAACGTAGCCTGTAGAATGTAAAAAGTCACTGAGTACAGTTTAATTCAATATCCATGTCCAGTATTTATAATAAAAATAATCTGCTGCAATTTATAGATTCTCACATGCGAGCAACCTGTTACCTTGGCCTCAGCAACAACCAGCTCAGCAGACTCCGGATGCCGAACCGATCGCTCACGGAAAAGACCCCGTGAACCCCGCAAACACATGATGCATGATCGCAACAGGGCAAATGAGAGACGGCATCTGATGTAAGACTGTAGAAGTGGACTTTTGGCGGCATATCAGTATTTGACCCTTATCAACTGTCTTCATGTAAACGCTCACCTCTTTAGTATAGTACAGACTTTCAACCCGGGCTGAACTTGACCCGGGTTGAAATTTCTCATGTAAACACAGCCCAAGGTCGAGCGGAATCGGATCTTCCGATGTCATGCGTAGATCTACACTTCATACAAGCGCAAGGCCGGTCTCGAGGCAGGGTACCATCGTTTTTGATCCAAGAGCACCCGCGACTCCCCGGGTTCCCCTCAGATGTGTACGGTATTATGACGCAAAGATCCGATTCCGCTCGACCAAGACCCTATACTATAGGCCTATGCAGAGCTGGATCAGGCGTTGCACACTCTGGGGCCCAGTGGGGGGTTATGTACTCTTGGTATGACTCACTGAGCCTGATCTAGATCTGCTCACTAGCACTGAAATCCAGTCGGTCACTCAAGTGCGCGCCGGGCGTTTGGAAGCCTGCGAGTGCGGTTACATGTACTTGAGAGTTGAGTGGTGCGACTGGATTTCGCAGTGCTGTACGCTACATGACAGTGTTTTGTTGATATGACATGTATCAGTATGCCAGAACTCAGAAATCACCATACAAGGTCACAGGCGTGATCAGTGCAGTGCATGTTGAAGATGAGATTATTTTTGTTTGAGGTGTGTCGTTCAGCTGTTTTCCGACTTTCCCATGTGAGCAATTAGTGTCTTAGTGATACACTTCTAAGAAGAAAATAGAAGAATACCGCTAAGCAGCAACATAAATTTCAAGTCCGGACGGCTGTGCTAAAGGAAGCTACGTACGAAGACGGAATCAAAATAGGTCGGCAGGTATGAATTGGTCGACGTTCGTGCTGCTGCTGGCTGCACCAATCTTGGTCCTTGCCAACCAGCACCACATCGATGAGAAACGAAAACATAGCCATGGTGCTGCACCAGCTGAGGGGGAGAGCAATGGAGACGCTGCCCAGGTACCCCACATCATCATGTACGTTATCGATGACCTGGGATGGAACGACGTGAGCTATAACGGTGCCGAGTTCTCGACGCCCAACATTGATTTCCTGGCCAACGCCGGAATCAAGCTGAACCAATACTACGTGAACCGCGTGTGCTCGCCAACAAGATCCTCGTTCATGGCTGGCCGCTACGCGTACAATATGGGCCAAGATGGCAATGTCATCACTAACGGTCATCCGTACAGCTTGCCTCTGAACCACACAACGCTGGGAGATAAGATGAAAGAGGCTGGCTACAGCACCCACGCCATAGGCAAGTGGGACTTGGGATACTACAAATGGGAAGCCACGCCGACTCGCCGTGGCTTTGACACATTCTACGGATACTACAACGCTGACGAGGACTACTTCACACATAAATGTGGCGCAATGTATGTGAATACAACCACAAAGAAACGAGTGGTGATGACGGGTGTTGATTTCAGAAACAACGAGGATCCGGAGGTCGATCAGAACGGTGTATACAGCACTCATGTTTTTACAGAGCAGGCCGAGGAGCTGATAATGGCTCACAACGCAACGAAGGAGCCGTTCTTCCTGTACATGGCGTATCAAGCAGTCCACGGCCCGCTGGAAGCACCGCAGAAGTACATTGACATGTGCGCGCACATCAGCCGAATGGACCGGCGGATATTCTGTGGCATGATGATGGCTCTCGACGAGGGGATCGGCAACATCACCAAGAGGCTGAAAGCGTCGGGGATGTGGGAGAACACGCTGATCGTGTTCACGACAGACAACGGCGGCCAAAACCATGTCGGCGGAAACAATTGGCCGCTGCGCGGAAACAAGGCGACCATGTGGGAAGGAGGCGTACGCGGTATTGGCTTCGTGTCTGGTGTGGGCGTGAGCAAGCCATTCGTCTACAACGGATTGATGCATGCAAGCGACTGGCTACCAACGCTTGCTAAGGGTGAGTCTCAGCCTATTTGCAAATATGGCGGCAAAGCAAAAATGAATTTGGCCCCATATATTAAGGTGCAGTGAGCTTGTATATGAACTTAGCCCTGTGCTGACAATTCATCATCTGCCCTTACAATTACTAGTATATCTAAGGCCACACGTTTTTATTTCTATGTTTCTCGTCACCCGTTCGCATACGATTCGGGAGTCTGGAAGAAAAAAAGAAAGAAAAACTGTGCTGCACTGACTCCTAGTGGAGACTAGCACACTCATGCACATGTACATAACGTGGCCTGGCCTGCGCAACACATGATGCAAGGACGGCATGTTTGTGCGCAATCTAGC